CTGTCACGCGATCAAGCTTCCACATGGCGCCTAGAGAGAGCTGAGGGCCTCGACCCAGAGGATGGCATTTGCCGTAGGTCAAGTGGCGCGAGAAGCCGGTGTTCATCCGCAAGCGCACTGACGAGCAGATCTCGTCTGCCCGGAAGGACATGTAGATCTATCTGTGCATGAACCCAACCAAGTGCATGCATGCTTCCTGAGATTGGCAAAAAGCTTCTGCCCAAGGTGTACACAGTATGATAGCTGACATTATATTTCAACCAGCTTCGATGCAGTAGGACGACGTCGTTGCACCTTCAATGCGCGAGCCAGCCACGGATGCCGAGCGATGCAAGAGGCCAGGTGCAAGCATGGCAAGCAGAGCTTCTCCGGACACGGTCTTGACACGGAGTCACGATCCGAACAAAGCCTTTGAGGATCATTGACGGGTTAGGAAGTCAACTCAAGTCTGGCTCGTGGCCTTGCTGTTTGCAGCCGGCATGTAGGTTCGAGATTTCGCAGCCACCCTCATAGATCTGAAAGCAGCCAGCGTGGAACAGGCCCGAGTGGCTGATCTGCATCGGTGTCCCGAACCCAGCCGCAGCCGTGTGGAGCTTCATGAAAGTGTAACATCGACAGATCCTGTATCCCGAAACAGGTCTGCACTCACCTGGGCTGCATCCCCCAGCCTGATGCTGGCAACTACGGCATCTCGCTTATGTCGTGTTGAAGACCTGGGCCACCTGTTCGAGAGGTTCTGAGTTGGCAATGGGACGCTCGTCCGTCCGATACAAGTCAGAGGATGTAGGCAACTCCTCCTGAGGTGGCTACTTCTGCCCTTGCCACGGTTCTCATTACGACTATGCTGGCCGAATTCGCCAGGCCTGCGGCGTTGGAGAGAGCGCTCCTGGCATTCAAAGCCTTATCCATGGTGCCCCTTTCAAGCGCATGACAAGACCTGCAGGGCCCCGCGCCGAAGAACCTGGAGGTTCCTCCGCAGGGGCCTTCGCCGGTTATCGGTGTCTTGTTTGAAAACCTTTCAGCCTTGAGCCCGAGGCATTCCTTCCTGGACGAGAACACTGTCAAGTTGGGATAGACCGAAGCTTTTCACAGACTCACCGTAGCACAAGCTCCAAACAGAGCTGCCTTAGCCGGGGCCGTCCGCAACTTCGCAGTACACGTGCTACGTCTGTTGCCGTGCCAATCCTTCAGTGCTGCACTGCCTGTCTTTTTTGGATTGTGGCGAAAATGACTTGTGCTGGACAGTCGCATGTGTGGTGCAGCATCCCGCTGCGCACAGCCTTCCTGTGATCCTTGTGGCTTGGGAACTCTCTGCTGGATGACAGGTGCCTGCTGAGTAGAACTGAAGTAGCTGTATCCCCAATGTTTGTATTTCTTCAGGGTTCCTGGTTTGAGCGGCCCCGCCATGCGATCATGATTTGTATCACATGCTTCTCTGCCTGGCATGCGCGGTAAGACCTAGGATTCCATTGCACTCTGGTGTCGGGGGATTGCAGTGCTTCGGGGTCGTAGATCCGGACAGCTTGATTTGCAGACGCTGTGCACATGCTTTGCCGTTTGAGCTGGTTCAAGCAGTTTTTCTGGTGCTGGCTCACGTACTGCAAGTGTAATCTGCAACCTCACAGCCCACACAGGAGAGCAGAATCAAATTGTCCGATGGAGCAACGGCACAACATCGACTCGTCCCGCAGCCCCCTAGCTTCCCATGATGCACCTACACTTCTACATCATTGTCAATGCTTACAACTCGCTTGCATGTCCGTCCGGAGGAGGAGTTGTCTTGGAGCCTGGCAGTGCCTGGGCTCACACATTGTTCGTGTATTTCCCTGTTTTCAGCAGGGATCGGTTTCAGCTCATGGGGGTGTCGCATTCCTTGCTTTCGTGAGGGAGTCAGGCCTGAACAGGAAGAAGAATGTTTTGCGAGGCATTGGGACGGATGGGACGGGCTGCGTCGCAAACCTTGGAAAAGGCCCAAGACGGTCCGCCGGAGTCGGCCCGAGGTCGAGACGGAGCTGACTGTCCGCGAGCTGGAGCAGGTCATCCAAAGGTCCGCAGGATTCTTCCGATATCATGCGCCTCAGACGCTGATTTAAGACCATGCCTTTTGCGCGATTCGAGCTGCGAAAGCTCCCAGCAACTCGATGCCGCCCTTAGAATAGCACTCGACAGCTGACATGCGTGTCGGGATACAATAGGACACACATTAAATGGGCTATGAGGCCGAGTTATACGTGGCACTGCAAACACAGGAACACGCACTAATTCACGTAGATGATTGAGGTTTAAAGGCATCTACGAAACTATGGAAGCTTACACGTGCATATATGTTCCTTAATCAGCGGCTAGGCTGGTTGGGATGTAGGGATTAGTCTCTTCTGTCACTCTGTTGTGGTCACTTGTGTTGTTGGCGAGCGCTCTTTCGCAATGGTCGACCGTACTACAGAGTTCACTCCCACGCAGGCTCTGCCGCTGATCTTTGGGCGCCAGCAGCTCGAGGAGACCTTCTGCCGTTCCGCTGCAGACAAAGGCTCTTTGACATCGGGCAAGGCTGCACAGCCGTGAAGGAAACCCTCAGGAAGCTCTGGGCGGGTGATATGGATGCATTTGGCGCGACAGAGCCCGCTCGCGAACTGTCGCTGATGAAGCTCGCCGCTGCGTGGCAGGCTGCTCAGCCGCTGCCGACCCAGTATGCCTTCTGCAAGAGTGCTGCAAGAGCGCAGATAGAAGAGGATCCGGACAAGGTTCCCGGAGCTTGCTCAAAAAAACCATGCTGAGTTCAGGGACTGCTTCGTTCGTGTTCACTCCGACGTGAGTTTGATCGATGCAAAGCAATGCAAGAAGTTCGTGGAGAAGGTCTCCCGCGACTTCCTGCAGATTAGCTTGAGCCGGTCACCGACACGACGTTGTTCTACAGGCTTCATGCGCTCTTCATGGTCCTGGAGACCTGAACATTTGCTCGTTTTCACGTGCAAGTGGTCCACTGAAATACCTTCAAGAGCTCGAGCAGTTCGGTCGGAGTGCCTTGGCCTACCCTTCCTGATGGCTGCAGAACGGGTCTATGCCCAAGGCCTTCGTGTGCTACTCGTAGGGCTAGAGGCCCCGATGAGCGCTTGTATTTGGGTGTGAAAGGAGTCCTGGTGGGCAAGGTTGCGTAAGCCCATTCTCCCTCCTCTGTTTGCGTGAGCACTTGGCGCAGAAGTGTGAGTCCCAACTATAAAAGAGGGCATCTAAGCATCAGGGAGGCCTTAGTCTTGGACGCGGAGCTGATCTCGCAGTTAAGCATCTGCGACAGCAGAGCAACTTGCGTGAGCATGGTTTCTTGATGCATGAGCTGCAAGGAACTTTGCCCACGGCCCACAACGGGCTAGAGCCTTGTTGTCCAGCATGTGGAGTTGCAGTCGCAGTGCCCTCCATCACAAATTGCGGTGTTGTCTTTTGAATCTTGGGGGGTTTGCGTCCACCCAGGGTCCACCCGTAGCAGTGAAAAACTATGGGAAACTGACTTGGACAATGGACTGCAGCAGTCTTTTTGGTTGAGGGGTATTGTCACTGTTGCTCGGCCTCAACATCCGCGTGACCAGTTTCTTTTGGATGAGACATGTTGGATGCTGCATGTCCAAGCCACCGCAATGTGGGCTGAGTTTGGTGTGTTGGATGCGTCGCTGTACTTCTTCGGCACTGATGGGTCTGGAGGACTCTTCTTTGCCAGTCCGAGAGTTCTCGTGTGCACGTGGGTTGTTGCGGCTGTACGGCGCGATGAGACTTTGGTCAGTTGCCAGGTGTTGAGCAAACTGTCCCACTTGCGCTTTTTCAGCACACGGAGTTGTGTAGTGACTCCCTTGTTTGCGTCAAGCGACTGCGGAAGCTTCGATGTATTAGTGATTTTTGGTTTACAGTGGAAGTCTCCTCCGTGCATGTGGTTGCCCGTCAAAAGTTTGAGTAAAGACAGATCCTTTCTAACGGATTGGGTCCGTGCGCACCAAAATCATGAGCAAGCGCACAAACTTTGGCGCTATATTGCAAAACTTTGGCGCTTTATTGCAGATAGTGTTGCGGATGTTGTGGCTGGTATATAGGCTTGCAAAGGATGTTGCACAGCGTTTATCGCTGCATGAGACGGACACGCGTTTTGCTGACATTGATGGGCATTGCTGGAGGGTCCAGCAAGCTAGATATAAATTCTGGCAGGAGCGCTGCGCGCATGAGCGTGTTGGCACAAAGCCCACTGCTAAACTGCCTACTCGAGTGGAGCTTGTGACCTATGTTTACTTGACCCGTGCTTCGCATTCCTTCCAAGTCAGCCGAAACGTTGTCATATTACAGGCACAGTGGCGCAGTGTGCCGTGCCAGTTGCGGGCTTGTGATCCAAGCTCGGTGGAAGCGTCAGAGGTTGCGTCACGTCGTGGAGCTTCCGTGTTCCAGAGGTCGCCAGTTTTCGTTTCTAGGAGCGCCCCTCCACACCTGGTTCAGCAGGGCGTCAGACGGCTCCCACCAGCCTACAGCAAATTCATCATCTTCGGTAGGTGATCGCAAGCTTGTGCAGACTGTGTTTGCACCACACGAAAACGCTTTCAATCTCCACTCCTTAGACACGCGCTTCGTGTTGTTCTGCTCGAATCATGACACAGGTTTTCCCACCAAAGTGTGGAGAGTCGCCAAGTCGTGGCGCACCCACAAGGAAGCGAGGACAAGTGCACATGTCACGGAGAGCAGTGGGTTTATTCATCCCCGGCGAGATCAAGAAGTGCACAGAGGCTGTCTACAAGGACTAGCAAACGGAAACCCAGACCAACCACTGGAACTACATTGTATCTATCTTGGGACCCTTCGAAGAAGAAGCACAAGGGCAAGTCGATATCCCGACCATCGGCCAGGAGAATGTGATGGAGATGCTGACATGCCTGCAAGAACTCCTCCCATTGCCGAATGTGGTCCACCGACTCCGTTCTCTTCGCCCGCTGACGGAGTGTTCCGAAGCCATGGATATAGGTCTGCTATCTTCCGAGGCCCAAGAAGCATACATCATCCTCCGCCAGCTCAGTCAGTTGGCGATCACCCAGCCAGCGATATCTCTCAATCTGAGACCGGTCAAGCTTCAGAGATCGGCCCTGGCCAATCATATCCATCAGTTGTTCATCCGTGCTGTCAGGCTAAAGTTCCTCCTGATGCTGCAGACTTCTTGCGGCTGCTTCTTCAGCCTACTACGCCAGTATGCTTACACCAAATATGCAGTTGGACTTCTCTCACCCGAAAGTGGGAGACACCTCACGCCCAGGTTAAAGCCTAACGCGTGCAGCATGTAACGATCAGTTGGCAAGTTCGCATTCTCACCGATGCACGTATCCAAGTCGCGGAGCATGGTTCCACATTCGTTCTGTGCTTGCCTCGTATCGCGCCACCCAACCAGGATGTTCAGGGCCTTGCTAACTCCTGGTGCGCTTGAGGGGGAGTGCAGGCCTTCAATGAGCCGCGGTCACGGCTTGTCATTATACAAAAGGCCCGTTTCTCTGGAGCCTCCGGATACACTGAAGTCATTGCATGCCAGCGAAATGTCAGCTTCCCCGCATTCTGCAACCCATTCAGTCGCCCAATGCTGTCACATATACTTTGGAGGCGATTTGTCTACACAAGGCAGCGCTTGCCACTAGCGGTCATTACCAGGCCATGCTTTCTGATCAAAACATGTTTTCTGATCAAAAACAAGCATGCATACCTGTGGAATGACACTGTCGTTGCTGCGAGAAGCTGTGCTTCTGACTCCACTCGGCTTCTGAATGAAAGCGGCTATGTCCTCATTGATCGAATGCTCGTGGACGCATGATGGTTCTGTAATAAACCTCCTCGCTGTCGCACTCTCGGGAGCTGGGTCACGGTGCTTTGTCTGGTAGCGGGAGAGTGTCAAAGACACCCCAATCACGGCCGGGCGACTATGCGCCTGTCTGCTGCGGACAAGCAAGCGCCGATCTCAAAGCCAAAAAGTATACCTGTATGCCTACAGGTAAGTATGTGGGGTACACAGGTAGGCAGCGAGGCTATGTAAATATCCAACGATGATGGTATGTATGCATGTATGTG